CAGCGCTGGCCCGGGGATGCACCCGGCCCCGCCAGCGCATCTGACCGCATTAAAGTGTCATTTGCACACTGTGCACTGTGCACATGCTGCTCTCTCCAGACTCCTCTCTTCAGAGTTTCCTATTGCTGCCAAATATAAAAGGGGCTTTCCTACTCTAATTTTCCTTCTCCCATTCCAGGAGGCATACACGGCTTCTCCTAAAGGCACGTTAGGCTCTAGCGTATCGCTTTCTGCAGCAATAGCATAACTCCCGCCAGCTTCCATTTACCTGCTGTGCTTGGCAAGTGTTTTGACTCCTGGCTCTGATTTACTGTAACAGGACAGTCTGGTGGTCCAGGAGAGGTTCTGGGCCTGTTTGTTCATTTACAAGCAGAAGGGAAAGATTTCAGCCTCGCGTAAAGAGGGAGTGCGGTGTGCATGAAGTGAGGTACGAGTCTCATGAGAGATGAGACCCTGTTCTGAGAAGCAAGAAACCCACTTAAGTCTCTCTCCTACGTTAGATACACCTCTCCCTTTTTGGGGTTTCCTGTGATGCAACTCTTGCATGACTCTACAAAGGTCAGCTAAAGACAAGTTTTCAGTTCCGCATCCCAATAAGGCTTGTAGCATAACCGCCCCAATAGAGGAAGAATAGACAAAACACTCTTAAGAGGGGGTTGCTTGCTTTTAACAACATCACAATACTGAGAATGGGCAGTTTTATTTTCCCTTGCAGATGAAAGATTAGATGAGGCTGTGGAAGGTGGTATTGCTTTTCTAATACCTCCCCCTTCTTCCCCATATTTGAGTCACGTTTAATATAAAATGGTGACTGTACTCTGGTACAGGGTTTCCAGGAAGTTCCTCTCTAGATTAGATTACCTTGCTGTAAAGGTAAACGTTTGCATCTGCACTGTTCTTGCTATCGTAATCTGAAGGTACCACACAGCTTTCCCTTTCTGGAGCTTTCTGCTTTGAACACAAGGAGTAGGTTTGTAACGTTTCTTTGGAGCCAGTTCCATGGAGGCCTCACTTTTTTCCTATTGAAAAAAAAATACTACTTGGTTATTAAATACGCAAAATGTCAATTTAGTTAAATTAAACAGATGCTGGAGATCTCCCTTGGCATTTCAGCTCCAGTAGTCTTAGAATTCTCAAGATGTTTATTGTACTTAATGGAATCCATTGGGTGTTGCTATGGTAATGGCGTCTAAAAGTGCATCACGAAGGCTGTCTTCCAGTCTGAGGATGGGAGAACATACATGAAGAAAGCCACCTTTTACCGGAAGACAAATTCTTTTTTTAATAAAATAATGTGCATCTCCTGTAGAGAACAAGATAACTACTCGTTAGCAGAAAACAAATTGTCTAGACAACTCTTTTCAAATAGTTCCCAATATAGCTTTTCTTTTTTTATATATACAGTCATGCAATTTTATTCGATTTGATTCTTGAAAAGACGTATTTTCTTGATTCAAAGATACAGCAGAAGTTCCAAAATTGTTAGGCTGTCTTTTCTGAGAGACATGGCAGAGGTCGAGTGAACTGCAGACACACACTGGAACAGTTACAGGTAGCTGAATTACAAACATGAGACAATTGATTAGGTGCTTTCTTTGTCTCTCTCCCCATTTTCCCTACTTCTGTATATGTGTTATAAATACATTTATGAACATCCATAAATAATTGCCATGAAGCAAGCTTTAATGATAAGGACTTCATCAAAATTAACCTTTAGGTACTGCTGAAGAGATTACACCACAGCATGGCATAAAATTACTTTCCTGCCTAAACTCATGCATCTTACTTCTAAACAACAGCTCGCAGATTTAGACAGAATATCTGAAGCATTTGGACTCCAAAAGGTAAACATCGCTTTGCAGCTCACAGCTCAACTGTGACCACATACAGTAATTTCTGCAAAACAAAAAATGCATGACAAAGAGAATAATCGAGTAAGCAATGCCTCTTTTTTAAGTTACTTCTGTAGATTTGGTGCGACTTCCAAATTTGCATGATGATGGCAGGCTCTAGTTTTTTCCCCAGACACCACCAGTATTGCTCAAAGCCCCAAATTAACATACATGGATGTTGACTTAAAAGTACTATGTATGTAAACACTACACAAATACATATGCAAAATGAAGTTCATATAGAATAGAAATTGTAATATATATTCTATGAGGCAATGCACACGGGCATAGCAATAGTTTTTCAACTACATAAATGTATTTTGTAATATTATTTACAGATGGAAGCAGAGACAAACAGTACCATCAAATGCATTGATTTCTTCAATTCTATGAAACTGTTGAAGATCCTCACTTGCAATAAAATGATTGCAATACCAGCTACCTATAAAAGGAAAGTGCTCGTGATCCATTTAGTGCAATAATGCTGGCTACAAAACTTAAGAGATGAAAACATTTTCAGAACTAGTACCACATGAGCTAATGGGACAAAAAAAAAAAAATTCATTTTTTAGTTCCAAAGTTTGGTAAGATAAGGAAGAGGAATTAAGGTTACACAGCGGACCAACAAGAAAAGAAAAATGCTCCAAAGTCAAGTCTTTAGATTGTCAGAAATCAGAAGTGCCAAACGTACAGTTTCTCATGTTATTTTGTTCCAGCTTCGCCCTGAACATTCATGGAGACAGCTGTCCCATATTCAAAAGCAACGGCATGTCACAGATATTCCTGCAGATATGACACTTTGTAAGCCCAAACAAAGAAAAGAAAGATGAATAGACTCATCAGTCTGACAGTCCTTTACCTGTGAGTGCTTGACTTCGTAACTTCAGTAGTGTTCCTCCATTTAATTAAATACTGAGAAGCATAGAATTTTCTTCTCAAATTAAAAAAACAGTAGCACTCGGGGGCAGATAATAAAAACGACAGGTTCTTACAAGTTGTACATTATGCTTTCAGCACCGGAGTACAGTAAGCCACAACAGCTAAAGATTACACAAGTTATTTCATGTATCTTGGCATCAGAGATCAAGCATCGTAACAAACTTTGGTGAACAGTTAGGTAGAACTCATTTAAAAGGAGTGACCCTCCAGAGAAAACTCTTCTTCTGGACCTAAAGACCAGGTGAGCAAAAATAACCTCTACAGGGATGCCATGCACCGCACACGTAAACACCAAAATGCCCATCAGCTTTGGTAAACCTTAGCTGCCTACTCAAATACGGAGGCAGGCCGATAGAAATCCTAGAAATAGCTTTATTTCCATTTTTATCTTTGCTCTCAAGACTTAAAAGACTCCTGGACTTAACTGAAACTTGTATGAGATCTCACACATTTACCATCTTCCAAAATCAGAATAACTAAGAATTCTCACAGATAATGAAACCCAAAGCCCTTTTACTAGTTTCGGTGAGATACAGAAGATGCGGCTCTAGCCAGCTCTAGTATTTAGTCACTGATCCCCATGCAGATTTTAAAATGTCACAAGGTACAACTGTATGAAAAACAAGGAGGACATCCTGCAGCCTTTCACACAAATGATTTTTCTTAAGTTCTCGAATTTGAGAGTAAGCTTTTACCCAAGGGAAGTTAGCACAAAAAGACCTTTGTCCCTAAAGCGGGGTTATGGACAACTCCCCATCCTCCTGTTAAGTCATCACAAGACCTTGTAGTCTTAGTTAAAAGTCTAACGTGGAAGGAAATATGCACATATGGGCAACCATCACCATAGACCACAGCCAGAACCTACAAAGCAGGGTTTGGGTGCCAAGCCACTGTAGTTTTAATCCACGGCGGCTTCTTGGAGCAGTTCTGCTGGTGGGAGCTCTAGACGCCGAAGAGCCCAGCAACTGCACTTCACAGAGTACTTCTGCCACCCAAGCAAGAGCAGTTGCTCTCAGCCTTCCCAAAGTTTTGAAAAGCACCCTCCAGAGCCAGGCCTACCACAGGCAGAGGCTAGGACCTGCAGGTTGGCGCACCACCCCGCAGAGCCTCATGGGAGTCATCGCTGCCCTCGGCAACCAAGGATCGGGTCGCTCTGTCTGGCTGTGAGATGGCACCTTCTGCCCACGAAGCTGGTAGAGTGCTGCGGCCCGTGCTCCCCACAGTGGCGTGTGCAGCCCTGCAGCTTGCTGCCACCCAAGAGATCACGGTTGCCCTGGCCAGGCACCAGACTTCCGCATCCCCTGCCTCAGGCCAGACAACGCTGCTCATCCACCCAGGAATGACAGCACCACAGGTGAGCTAGAGGGAATGGCCCCACACTGACACCAACGCTTCCTGTTGCTGTGGCCCCGGGGGGACTGACCGGCCTTTGCTGCCTCAGGGGAAGGATGAGCAGTGCCAGGCACCACCGACTTGCCGCCCTTCGCCGTCCTGTGGGCAGGGGAAAACTCGGCAAAGCCAGCGCATACCTTTTTGCCATTTGCCATGCCCACTGCTGGTGTCCCGAGGGTGCATGAGCCCACCACGCTGCGATGGGGAGGCCATGGGCAACACAATGAGGCAGCAGAGGCTGTGGCGGCTTCTCCCATTTATTCGTTCCACGCGCGGGGCAAGAGTGGGCGCTGCTCCTCAGCGGGCGGCAGCTCCTCAGTGGGCGGTGACTCGTAGGTGACGCAGAGGGAGGAGAACAGACAGCCCAAGAAGGACACCAGGCTGGCGAAGTACATGGCGCCGCTGGCACTGCCCACAGCTGCAGTCAGCGGCCCCATGGCCAGGGCCACAAGGATCTGTGCCAGGAAGAACTAGCAGCTCAGCAGGGAGATGTCAACGCCCATCCCACGCCGTGTGCCCTCCGCCTGCGAGCCTACAAACTGCAGGGGACACAGTGTAAGGGGGCGCCGCGGGAGCTCCTCTCCCCTGCCCGGCCCGGGGCTCACCTCGCGGCTCTGGTAGTAGTCGCAGAGCAGGGAGTAGGGCAGCGTGCAGAGCGTGGCGAAGAGAATGCCGTAGGTAGCGCACAGTGACAGCACCACATAGACATTTCTGGAGAGCGTGGCCAGGCCTGTGCCCAGCCCAAAGGCCAAATATGCCACAAAGTACAGCGTCCGTGTGCTGAACCTCTCCTCAAGCTTCTCCAGCACGGCTGCAAGACAATGGCACAGCATTCAGGGTGAACGGCGGCCCTCCGTGCCACTTGCTGGTCAGCGGACCTGAAGGGTGCACCTTCGGGCCCCCCAGCCCAGCCATTAGGGAGCCACATCTCAGCGGCAACCATTACGCCTTTGAGTAACAAGTGGCTTTCACATGGGGGCCCAGACCCTTTCCAATAGGTCTGCATAGGAGTTTCTGATTCATCAGAATCAAGGCGGCCCTCCGTGCCACTTGCTGGTCAGCGGACCTGAAGGGTGCACCTTCGGGCCCCACAGCCCAGCCATTAGGCAGCCACATCTCAGCGGCAACCATTACGCCTTTGAGTAACAAGTGGCTTGCACATGAGTGCCAAGACCCTTTCCAAATTTGACTGCCACAATGCAGCCTTGCTGCCCTAGCTGTGTGGAAGGCATGTCAGAGCTGAAGCTTGGCAGTGCACCCTGTCCCAGAGGGGTAAATGGAAACTGTTGAGGGGGCAGACACACGACAAGGTGCTGCGGTGGTGTGTGTGACACCGGGGCGCTCTGCCAGGGGCACACAGGTACCGAGTGCTGCTGCACCAGAACTGTGTCTATGGTGGCTGCATGGCTTTCTGGATTCAATGTATATTGTAAATGCCACTTGTGAAAGAAACTATACACTAACAGAGGCGTGCCTTCACTGGACTGCTGACCTTATCTGCTGTCAGTGCAGGCCAAGCTCACTAGAAGAGATAATATGGTGAAAAAGAACACTCCTGGCACTCGTGCCATGTGGTAGGCTATGTGCAACATAAATGCCAGACTATGTGTTGCAGAAACACCGCTTAAATAGTGGGTGCATCCTTTTCACAGCAGCGGCTTAGATGGCTGTAACCAAGTACCTGAATAGAAAGCAGCACTGAATGCATAGATGCACATTCCCCAGCAGCCCACGGTGACACCAGCGTTGTACTTCTGATACTCATCTGAGTTGTGAGGCGCTTTCGGATTCCCTTGAAACACTACTTCTCCCATGAAGTCGGTATAGAAGAGTAACATCCCCTCAAATGAAAGCCATCCTGAAAGAAGCCAGAAGTAACCTATTAGGATTGCGGAATATCTGTTTCCCCTTGTAAGCTTACATGGATGCTATTACCTATATTAGAAATCACAACTGAAGACAGGTTGTCCGACGTGAATATTACGTAATGTTTAGCCACATTTATCTGAGACTGCTGTTCCCCGTGCATTATGCCACAATGTTTGTCAAAGACATTCAGGATTTTAAAGACCAAGATTTATCCTTTGAATTCCTAAGTGGAATCCCAGAGGATGACTGCAGGCCACAGAATACTGGTTTAACAAGACAGAAAAATACATTACAGCAGTTTGAGCTGCCTTCAGGTTTTGACAGGACACAATGCTCAGTTTTCATGGTGTGCCTCATCACATGGTCTTTTCAGGTTGCTGTTGTCCTCCCACATAGACTTGGAAGGAGTGCTTCTTATGTCATGGCTGCAGCCTCTAGAGCACCTCTGACACAGTTAAAAACTCCTACTCACAAACCAGCATCAGGGACACTGATGCAGGCAATCTCTTTATTCTTTTCACAGCCAATGGGTATTAACTACCTGTTACCTTCTGTCCAGTTTTGTGTAAACTGCATTGCTTGCAAGCCCTTCTAACCATCAGTCACGCACTGGCAAGAGTAAAGGTAACAGGGCATTGGTTACGGGCACTCCTGCAGTGTCACGTTCTGCACCTCCTCATGGCCTGTTCTGGGACCCCTATACACATGTTGTCAAAGGGAAGAAAGCAAACGCCGGTCTCAAATGTAAACAGGGAAATACAACTAATCTTGTCTTTCTGATCAGTAATGCTAGTTTCAGAGCATAAAAATAACAACAAAAAAAGCTATAGTTTCAAGTTCTCAGTTCAGTGGCATTTCTCATCCTGGTGTAAACATCCCATTTAATGGATGCGCTGATATAGGCCGTTGTTATTCTCTAGGAATGCAGGCTTTAGTGTTTTTTTGGTGGGGTTTTGTTTTGTTTTCCTTTCCTTTCTCAGTGCTCAAAGAAACTAAATACCAGGAAGCACCTTATTGGTGAGTGTACACTGAACAAATCATGTCCTCTTTAGTTAGCAGCCATTGCAGCAATAGATGAAATACTTAAAAACATTCACCGAGGGGGACTACTTCATGGTGAAAGCAAGATGGCACTTTCTGAATACCTAGGAAGTGGTTGACGCAGAGGTTACGAAGAGCCTTGGGCATCTGGCAGATAGTCGAACACAGAAGTTTCACGGAAAGCGGTTGCTCAGCGGTCTCGTCTGATCCATTCAGCTCGCTCTCATACTTAACACCATTCAGCAAGATATTAGCAACCTGCACCATAAGAGCTCCCAGGTCAACAAACACAGTAAGAAAAACTCAAAACATCTTTGAGCAAACCTATGCAATATTATGCACCTATCTGATCATCTGAAAGTTAAACTCTGCTGCTGCAGTATGTTGACTTGGAGATTAAGAACAGTGTATTTAGCTAAGTTGTAAGTTCAGCCTTGGAACAAGTGTTAAATGGCAGCACTGCGCTGTGGCTTTCAATATACCTGAAAGAGTACTCTTCACTTCTCTAGGGTATTTGGCAACCACATCCAGATGCTAGCGTAAGGAAGGCACAAATTCCACTCCATTTAACAGGAGTTGTACCCACATTCAGCTAAGTTTGGCTCCTGAAGTTTTAGAGACATCGAGGAAGAAGAGGCCAGTTTCAACTGAAACACATTCTTGTCGCTTGCTAATCTTGATGCTCGATCTCTACATGCACAATATGTAAAATCTTGGCCCTAATAAAGTCTGTTCTCACAACCTGGGTCAAAGTACAGCAACAAACCAAAACAAACAAAAAATCGCCACCACCACCACCCAACTTCTTTACCTCATCCCGGATCATAAAAAAATGGGCCAGCATACAGAGGTCTCAGACATTCCAAGTTATCACCAACAGTGGGAGGCGAGGTCAGAGTCTTACCCCTGGGTAAGGGAAACCTCACCTCCCTGATGGAACCAGAGGTAATGACTGCCATAAGGAGAAGCTCATGGGAGAATCCTATCCCTGGCCCTATCTTGCAGGTATTTCTGTGGAAAGGGAAGATACAGGCTCAATAAAAATGTGTCTTTTTCTGCTCTCATGTGGTCGCTCCCTGGGTGGTGAAGCAGGGCTAAAAATACTGATCTAACTTTCACATGCTGCCCGGTAAGAGTAGAACACTCCCATTTCTGCCATCTTAACACAGACAGTTGACAGACTGCCAGTCATAATTCACATCCTGCCCACTATTGTACCGATAAAGTCATAGCAGGTATGCTGTTCCCATAATGATTTTTATGAGCAAACTGTCGCATGCAGTCTTTAATGATGAATTTGTACACCACACTTTTAAAACTATGTAAAGAGATTACATGAATGCTCAGGTTTACATGGTAATATCACTGATTTTCTGCCCTTACCTGTTGGCTGAAGGTTACATTTCTTCTTCTGCTATTTTCTGGGCAGTGTCCTGTTACGGTATCTGGAATGGCCAGGGTCTGAGGTCTTTTCAGGATCCCCGACGACCGTGGCTTTATCGCATCCAGTGAGCCCACCCTTAGTGCCTCGCCGTTAGGCCCCGGTGTTATGCTGCTCTCCTCTCGCTCCAGAACTCCATTTTCTCCTTGGTAACAGCCATCAGGCACCCGAGGGAAGCTGACACTGACAGGCTGCCTGGGCAAGCTAGCTGGAAGTGCTAAGTAACTATTGTGCCCGCCTGTAAAACAGTCTATAAGCACACTGTCAATATTTGAAGTCCCAAATGATGATGCAAACTCATTAATTCCCGTCAAGGAATTGTCTCTGCTAATAAAACTGCCATATTTGGGCGTGAGTGGGCTGAGGGGGGAAACAGGACTTGTAAAACTTGCATATAAGTGCGCTGAGTTATGAGAAGCAAAGTTTTCATCTACACCCTCCTCGAAGAAGAGAGGTGGAGAAGGAGGGAGAGGAAGACTTGGACTCTTCATCACCTTTTTTTTCCTGCTAAAGGACCTTAAGGGTCTTTCTGGAATACTAATTAGAGTCAGCACAGTAGTGACAGCCAGTATAACTGAGGTGAAGAAATAGATGACGCGAAGTTGCCCTCCCACAGCTTTTCCAAAACTGGTTTTATCCCAGTGTATTCCTCCAACAACATAACCAAAGCCACCTCCAAGACCTGGTGGAAAAACAGAGCCAAGATTATCTTCCCAAGCCAATCCCGAAGTCAGCAACAGCACAGCACCATTTGTCTAACGATACACATGTACAATCCGATGTGTTACTTCTGTTTTACTACTCAAACCCTTTTCAATTCAAATGCAGCAGTAAACAGAGCTATCTCTGCCACAGGGACAGTCTGGATGTACAAACATGGTACAGAAAGAAGGAGGTCAGTACTGTAAAAGTGATGATACAAGTAACTAAAAATAGTAGTTCTTTCTTTGCCAGGAACAAACCACTTTACCTTCAGCTATTTCAGTCCATAAAACAGAAGTGTCCACCAGCCTCATGGCAAAGCTCTGCAATCAGTCAGCTAAGACTGTTTTCCTGAAAGTAAGTGAAAATCCATTTTCCTTACTCAGTTAGAGGAATGCAGATCTGTGTCCAAGACAGACCAAATCACTTCAGACGAGTGGCTTCTCTGCAACGTGTGGACAGCGTACAAAACTGCCACTGCATTACTACCGATGAACAGAGAAGTTCTGAGGGCACTGGATACCTCTCTCCATTCATGTGATGAAAGCCTCACAACACTATCCTTTCTTTCTAAAACATTCAAGAGTGTGAAAGGGTCTCCTGATGCAGAGGAAAACTAGACTAGGGCACTACAGCAACTGAAGACGACAGCAATGAGGATCATAGCGCCCAGTACGCACTTTCCCCTCCAACAGAGAGACTAAAAAAGGCATTTTTCACGCCTGCAGGAAGCCAAATCTCCTCCCTCGAAGGATAATTTCATTTCCATAGGTGTTATAAATGACATGAGGGACCTTCAGATGAAGAACCCAGGACTGCATCTCCTTTGACTTTTGGTAGTTGAAAAAGCCTTTTACAGTGAGCAGAAGTTTGTTTCCAAAGTTAATTAGCGCTACCTCTCCAGGTATTCAGTTATTACGCTCATACAGAAAAGACCAGTAATTTACACTCCGCGCTCTCACAGCAGAGCTTGTTTACTTAGGGTTCACATAACTCAGAGAGCACCAAGAAAGCATACCTGCTAACAAAGCGTGGATGTTGAGACCCCTGTCTTGATCTGCTGGGCTGCATACATCCATCATGTAGGCATGACTGGGATTGTCTGCTGAATCTGCGCTGAAGTCCATGAGGACAACACCACAGACCGTAAGAATGATCCCCCATTTGTGGTTATTTGCAGTGTCAGACAAGGCACTCCCTATATCTTTGCCATTCAGCATAAGCGAGAGCCCAAGCAACACTCCTGGGAATAAAACCAAATAAAAATCAATCAATCGACTGCTTGTAAACAAAAAACCCTGCATCACTCCATGCTCTAAAAGCATCATACTACCTGCACAGCCTTGCAGCAAGCACTATTGCTCTTCTTCAGACCACCACAGTCTGGGGAACGAGCGTGGCTTATAGGATATACATATCCTTTTGCACTATTCAAGCTTACAAATGTCTGGAGTTGTTTTCGGCGAAAAGAAAAACATTCTTAACCCACACAACATCACCTGTTCAGACTCTGACAAGAAAATCTTGTAAGTGTGGCTCTCCGGCTGCCAAAGCATCACCCCAGCACCGCTCATCACCTTCTTCACACCCATACTACCCAACACTACAGAGGCATTTTGTTCAGCCTAGTGCCACAGGGGGTGTCATAGAAGAGAGATGCGCAATGTTTCTACTTCACAAGTGTTATGGCCATTGTTTCTAAAAGACATACCTACTGCTAAGACGAGAATGAAAGGTCTTCTCCTCCCAAATCTTGATGTGCATCTGTCACTCCAGGCCCCCAGCAAAGGCTGCAGCAAGAACCCTAGAAAACAGGAATCACGAATAAGTAGCATTTTTCTACAAGCCTGTTTCACAGGGGAGTTAATACAGGCAGCTTAATAGGCAGTTACAGGCAGGACACCATGGCACAGTGATATCCCCAGCAGGTACTAGTCAGCCAGGTGTACACACAGTGTAATTCCTGGCAATTCCCAGGTCAGGGACTGAATAATGTAATGTGCCACTGCTCACTGTTGTGACAGTTCACTCTGCATCACTAAGACAGCAGAGTCGGACATCAGGTGAAGAGTAAAACAGTTTCGCATTCCAAAGGATTCTGCTCCTTACAAGCTATTTCATTTACCCCGTCTTAGATGACACATCCTCTGCAGAACTAACTTGGAAGATAGCAGGAAGCAAACATGAGAGTCGGAAAGGTGCCTGTATTACTCTGGGCCAGCCTGTGAGTAGGGGCCTATCTAGTCTCTTCCTCTGAAGCACATCCCGCAAGTGCAAGTGTGGAGAATTACGACACAGACTCTCGCGGGGTATAGACCAAAGACCTCTATTACCCTTGCTTCCCAAGCTTTATAGCACTTTTCCTTGTCCACGCCCTACCAATCATCTGCTGATAGGGTAAAGCCTTGCAATCACGCATCTCTGCTTCACGACGATTGCGTAAACCTCTCCTTCCTGGCCTCATCCTACCTGCCACCGCAACTTCCTGGTAAGTTGTTTATCTCCTTCTTTAAGGGCACAGAGCTGTTTCATCAAGGTCATACTCCTCATATACTCCTACACGCAAGGACAGGCAGAACAAAGTTTCCAAGTGGTAATATCCCTTCCTGTGGTTCTTCCCATAGTAATGGATACGCTCCCAGCCCTGCCTCCGTACTAAGGCAAGTAATCCAATGCCCACAACAGTAGCTGTTGATGGTCTTTCATCATTGGAACACCTCGCTTGTTTCAGAAAGTTAAACAGGAGAAGACAATGACACTCTTCTTTTTTTCACACACCCCTGGGAACTGTCTCTGTATGCTTTTTTTCACAGGGATGCAAACAGATACACTGATACTCTTTTGCTAGTTTTTAAATATAGGAATGGACTAACCAAAGCTTACTCTCCCACAAGATGTAAGAGGTTGAGAAGCCATTAAAAGAGCAGACCTTTTGATCACACCAGGCCCATTTCAGGCAAGAGACAGCAAGAATTATTGTGTATTCGGTTGTCTAAAATTATGGCTAGTGCTTCTTAACCTTGAGAGCACACAGAATATACTTGTGAACAGCTGAAATAAAGAAAACAAAAACACATAACCCCTGCATAGTGGACAAAACAAGAGGAAAGAAATAGCGTAAAGAGACGTTACCTAATATAGGGCTGATAAACCACACCATTCCATACAGTTGGTCTGGAAGCCCCATCTGAAGCAGCACGGGGGTAACGTAGGCTGTTTCCATGGCATAGCTGAACTCGAGCCCAAAGAGAACACACCCATTAAACAGGAGTTCTAGGAAAGACCTCTGAGGCTGGAGATCCCTAAAGTCAATCAAATCAATAGGACATGGTGTATTGGGTGGTGGTGGCGGCGAAGGGCGGATGTGTTTTCTCCTTTTTGGATGTCTCTTGAAATTGTTGGCCCGATGACTTATGTGCCGTGTTACCGATCCAGAATAGCCTGGAACTCGTGACCTCCAGATTTCCTGAGAAGCCACGCTTGGCAAGGGTGCAGCATCGCTGACAGAGGTTGTTGCAGATGGTGGAATCATCACGGGTAAGCGTCTGGAAGAAAAATAGCTCAGAATAAAATGGCCAAGTAAGAAAAACTTTGCTTAATTTCAGTTGCTGAAGTTCAAGCCGTTTCTCAACATTTCACATACTGAGTGCAACCTTCATATCGCTCACAATCTTTTCTCTCATCTCTTGACACAAGGCACACACGTTTTATGGGCACATCTCCTGAACCTTTGCACAAATGAGACACCGGAGATCCTGTCTTGGTTACCTAGGCATTACCTACCATCATTGGGGATTATGGTTAAAATATTTAAAACAATTAGCAGTCAAACATGTCACAATTCCCAGCAGTTCCCATAACAGCAATGGGTTTACGTTTATCTGCAATTCAGCTGAGCTAAATTAAGATGAATCATGTCCTCAGTCTAAGTTTACAACAAAGCAACACTGTGGCTTGGCTGCAGATCCAGACCCCTGCTGCAATCTGAAATCACCTTTCGGTACGGATCCTACCAT